CCAGGGGTGCACAACAATTTTCTACCTCCTCCCCCCTCTACCCTATCACCTTCAAGTCTCTTGGTCTGAGGGTAATTGATGATGATGGTGATGACAACAATGACAAATACTACTTATATAGTGCTTAAAGATTTTCAGAATGCTTCACATATATTACCTTATTTAATCCTCACAACAATCTTGTGGGGTAGGTACTACAGGTATTATTTGTATTTTATAGATGAAGAAACAGAGGCTGAGAGATTAACTCATTTGTCTATGCTTGGACATCTAGTAATTGTTTGAGGTAGACTTGGAACCCAAGTCTCTTCTAATTCTGGTCCCATTGGTTTTACAACACTGCTACTAATGCTTACATAAGCATTCATGCAGCACAATGAGCTCATCACTTCTAAATGTTGGGCATACACTCAATATACTGAGTAAGCCCAGAAGAGTAGAGAAGGCTTCAGGTTTGGAACCTATGCCTTGTCTCCACTGCACATCAATCACAGCCCAGTATGGCCACATCCTGGACCTGTCATCATACAGTATAGGTATAAATATGTTCCCTGTTCAAAAATGTTCAGGGCCTCTTTATATAGGATAAAATACAACTTTAAAAAAATATATTTGTATTCAAGGTCTTATCTGATTCCATCATCACTTCTAGCTTCATTTGACATTATTTTCCATCCACTTATCCATCCACAAAAAACCCCAACATGTTATTACTGTAATAAGTCTTAGTACACTGAAATAAGGCTGAAGATAAAAAATGTAAAAAAAAATATAGTTCCTTCCCTCAAGGAACTTATAATTTAATAGGGGAAACAGCATGCAATAATTAAATACTAATTAGATGGGAGAAGACTAATAGCTGAGGGGACTGGGGAAGACATCAAATATTCAATTTGATTTAATTCTGAAAACATTTATTAAAAACCTCTTGTGTAAAGTACTATGCTAAGCTACAAAGACAAAAATAATGTAGTCCTTGTCCTCAGGCACCTCTAAGATGACACAAAATGTACATGAATTAGTAAATGGGGGATAGTTTGCAAATGAAGATGTCACCACTGTTGTGGGATGGTATGAATAAAGAGAAATTTTTGCAGAGCTGACACCTGAACTGAGCCCTTAAGGATTCTAAAAGGAAGCACTAAGGGGCAGTATATTCTAAACCTGGGGGTGAAGTTGGAGGAAAAGCTTGTGTGAATGCTTGAAGACAAGAGATTGAGAAAGGGGAATTTTGTCCAGTTTATCAGGAATGACAAATGAGTGAAGGGGAATAATGTGGAATAAGGTTGCAAAGGTGGACTGGAGCTAGTTTATGCAAGACCTCAAATTCCACAGGCAGAGAATTTTGTATCTTATCCTAGTGGCATGGTATACATTTCACCCAGTTGGACTACTAGCAGTTCCTTGATTTCCTTCATCTCCAAGAATTTGTGCAAGCTCTCCCCCAAACCTGAAATTAAACTTCCTCCTTACCTTTGCCTGTTGAATCCTCTTCCTTTAAGACCAACACCTGCTATAAGAAATGATGAACAGGCAGATTTCCAAGAAACCTGGAAAGACATATGTGAACTGATGCTGAGTGACATGAGCAGAACCGGGAGAACATTGTACATAGTAACAGCCACAATGTGCGATGAATAACTTTGATAGACTTATCTCTTCTGAGCAATGCAAGGATCTAAGACAACTCCCAAAGACTCATGATGGAAAATGATGTCAACATCCAGAAAAGGAGCTATGGAGTCTGAATGCAGATTGAAGCATATTATTTGCTCTCTCTTTTTTTTGTTTGTTTGTTTCTTCTTTCTCATGGTTTCTCCCATTGGTTCTAATTCTTCTTTACAACATGACTAATGTGAAAATAGGTTTAATACAGGGGGCACCTAGGTGGCGCAGTGGATAGAGCACTGGCCTTGGATTCAGGAGGATCTGAGTTCAAATACAACCTCAGACACATAACACTTAACTAGCTGTGTGACCCTGGGCAAGTCACTTAACTCCATTGCCTAGACCAAAAAAAAGAAAAAGAAAAAAATAGATTTAATATGAATGTATATGTAGAGCCTATAACAAATTGCATACCATCTTGGGGTGGGGGTGGGGGTGGGGGGAGGGGGGAGATGGGGAGAAAATTTGGAACTCAAAATCCTATGGAAGTGAATGTTGAAAACCAAAACTAAAAAAAAATATAATGATAAAAAAGACCGAGACCTGCTACCAACTCTTCTGTGAAGCCTTGCCACCTTTCCCCAGCTGAACGTGATCTTTCCTCAAATCTTCTAAGAGTACTTTGTCTGTGGATCTCTTCCTTGCTTCTATTGCATTCTACCTTTTCTATTATTTATTTGTAAATATGTTGCATCCCCCTTATTATAGTGTAAGCTCCTTGAGGGCAGGTATTTTTTTCCCTCCACCTCCTATCCTCCAACATTACAAACTTTGAATAAATGTTTTTAAAACTGAACTGAATCAATTGTGCTGGCAGGAGGGCACTTCAGGAATAGAGAATGGTGGAGAAAAAGCACAGTAGTGGGTTAGCAAGAAAGTGGGAGGTATTTTCAAAGAATTTCAAATGGTCAAGTTTAACTGGAGAGTAGAGTAAGGCATCTAGTCTGATTCGGTGTAGCCAATGGACACTCAATAAATGCTGATCAAATGGGATTCTCTAGCTACTATTCCAATTTGACAAAGAAAGTGATCAATATGACCATTTTCTTCTATGCTGTAACGATTCTCAGATCTATTTATCCAGCTCCAATCTCTCTCCTAACCACCAGTCTTGAATCTTTAGCTGTCTATTAGATATTTTGAACTGGATGTTCCATAGATACATCCAATTCAACATATCCAAAACTAAGTTCACTATCTTTCTCCCTAAACCTTCCCCTCTTCCTAACTTCCTATTCCTTAGAGGGCAACACTCTTTCCCCAGTCACTCACACTCCAGGTTCAATGCTTGATTCTTCATTCTCTCTCTTCCCCCTTTTCCCTCTATATCCAGTTAGTTTCCAAATCCTATCAATTCTACTTTCATGACATCTTTTACCTTCCCCTTTTCCCTTATGACACCCCCACTCTGCTGTAGGCAGTCATCACCTCAGGCCTAGATGATTACAATGATTAAATATAAAAAACTGATTTTTAAATCCCTCTTGCTTTTTTCAATCTTCTTACCTTATTCCCATCACATATTCCCAATCCAGTGATACTGGTCTCCTTACTGTTCCTCCCACGAGACTCCCCATCTCCCAACTCCATGTATTTTCACTGGCTGTTCTCCATGCCTTGGCATTCTCTCCCTACTCATCTCTCTCCTAGTTTCTCTGCCTTCCTTCCAGTCTCAACTAAAATCCTACTTTCAGCAAGAAGTCTTTCCCTGTCCCTCTTAGTGCTAGTACTTTTCCCCTGGGATTATATCCTCTTTATCCTATCTATATCTTGCTTGCATATAGTTATTTACATACTGTCTCCCCTGTTAGACTGAATGCCTTGAAAGCAGGAACTGTTTTTGCCTTCTTTTTGAATTTTCAGTGCTTAGAAGTGTCTAACACATAGTAGATACTAAATAAATGCTCATTGATCTGTTACCTTATTATAGTCAGTGATCAGAAGTGTATGTCATTTCAGATTTAAGCTTTGCTGTGAAGTGAAGAAAGCAGACAAGTCCTTCCATAGGAGGTTGCCCTGTGAGCTTCCTGCTGGATTCAGGGAAGATTGTAGTGTTCACATCATGGTGACTATACTCAACTCTGAGCTGAGAACTCAACCTGTGCTCCTCTCATCCCTCTTTCCCTTCCTTATTTCTTCCCTTTCTCCTCCCCCCATCCCAGCTGCCACCCATCTAACTTTTTACAATTTTGTGTCTAATTTAGGAGCACATTCTACTCAGTATCAGAGCAGTCTGAGCAGAAATGAACCTTAGACACCAACTACTCCAATCCTCTTATTTTGTAGATGAGGAAATGCTGAGAGGAACTGACTTGTCCAAGGTATACAGGTAGAAAATATAAAATTAGAGTTTCAAACCTAGGTTCTCTGCACTCAAATTTAGTGCTCCCTAACACATTTGGTTTGGGGTAGAAGGGGTGAAGTTGTTAAAAGCAGCCACAAGCCATTGGCATTGGAGAAGCAAATGTGGTGGAAGTCAACACAGTGGGAGCCAGGAGGGGTGGGAACAGGGAAAAATGTATAGATAAGGAAGAACATCTGAATATTTTTCTGCATAAATTATTCATTTGGAGTGGCTGGGGTTCTGCTTTGTAGAAATGGAAAGACCTTATTGCATAACATATCTCTATTTATCTATCTATCATCTCTGCCATCATACTGGCATTGGTAGACAGGTCTCCCCAGCATTTGTTACAGGCTTACCAGTGACATCAGTATTTTACTGTACAGAGTTACTCTGATTTTAGTGGAGATGATTGGATCCTAGGTGTCCAAATCAGTGTATAACTGTTACGAAACTAAAATCCACTATTTCCGAATAGTAGGTTTGTTTTTAAAGTCCCCTTACTTTTCTGGTCCTCTTACCTTACTCCCCTCCACTTATTCCCAATCCAGTGACACTGGACTCCTTACTATTCCTCGAACGAGACCGGCAAGTTATAGCCTTAGAGTCACCAAGTGTTCTAGGAGACTTGTTGCTACTTCCCCCCTGCCCCTTTCTTTTCTTCATTTACTCTCTGAATTTCTTTCTTCTCTCTTTCATATACTTAGCTCCGCAAGCGATACCCAAGGCTAGCAGGGTTGCCAAGCTTGTGTGTGTGTATGTGTCTCTGTTTACATATATGATGCACCTGTCTTTACCCAGGTCTGGCCGGTGTTTGCCCCCAGGACCAGCAGGGGGCGGTCCGGGATTAGTTCCACGCGTGCCTTCCACTCTCACGCGCCCCGCGGGACTCACACAGTGCGGAGCAGAGGATCCCCGGGTGGTGGCCACTGCATTCTCAGACCCACCACGGGGTGGGAGGAGCCGTCCCGCCCCTAGCCCGAGCCCTGGGCACCTGCAGCGCGCGGAAGACGCCGGGGACGCACGGGAGAGCTCGGCTCTGACGCTCTCCTGTCAGCACCTCCTCCCCATACCTGAGCGGGGAGCGGCGGAGCTTAGCTGCCTCCTCCTCTTTCTCTCTCTCCTCCTCTCCCTCCTCCTCCGCTGCTGCCGCTGCTCCTCCCAGCCTTAGTCCTAACTCCAGCCGGGCTGCCGCCCAAGTAAAGGTCGCTCTGGAGGAGAGAGGAGCCAGGAAGCAGAGCCTCGAGTGAACAGGGAGGGGAAAGTAGGGGCGATTAAAAAAAAAAAGAAGGAAAAACTCTTTGCAAGCGCAGGAAGATGGCGCCACACGGACAGCGGCTGGTATGAGAGCCACCAGGGGCAGCGAGCAGCACCGGATTCGGGGATTGACCTGGAGAGAGGGGCCGGTTCACTGGTGCTAGGGCTGAGCTTCCAGGCGCGCCTCCTGGCTTGTCTGCTGCACCGGCGGGGTCATGTCGGTCTGCGAGCTCTACAGCCAGGTGAGTGTGGCCGCCCCAGGTATCTCGGCTGTCCTGAAGGGAATGTGTGTGCAGGGGAAGGAAAATAGGAAAAAGGAGCCTGGAGCTTGGGAAGAGGGTGAAAGTGCACATCTGGAACGCGTTACGGAGTCTCGGGGCTGGAGAGATGTATGCAGTCAAGGACGGTTTCTTCTCCTCCCTCTCACACCTGCCTCGGGGGGTGAGGTGGTGAGCATGGAAGAAACTGCCTCTCTCCGTCTCAACTCCACTGCCCCTAACTTCGCGGCTGGGGAGAAAGTTTGTCTGGGAAGCGCCACACCTGTCCCGTCCCTCCAGCTCCTCCCAGTACTGCCAGCTTTTGCTAGCTAGCTCCGAAGTTCCTCTCTGCTCGCGTCTATTGGTTTCCTGACTTCTCTCACCTTCCCAACTCGGCCCAGTCGGTGCTGAGCTTTCTGATTCTTTCCTAGTCCATCACTAGTCTTTTCCTATATTTCCACTTCCCTCTCAGGCCTCACTCAGTCTCTGGCAGCCTCCCTTTCACTCTAACTCCCTGGACTCTGCTTCACAATTTTCCATCCATTCACTGGACCTCTCCTAACCTCAGTAGCTAGAGCAGTCTTCCTCGGTTTTGTTTTCTTACTAAGAAGAAACTCCTTCCGTCATGGGCTGTCACTCTCCCGGGTTTCGGGCTTACCAGTTTCCCGCCCCCTCCCCCTATCAAGACCCACCCCTGGTGCACTGCAGCTTGGGATTCCCTCTCCAGCCCAGGGCCGATCCGACCGGGTCTTCTCTGCGATCAGAGAAATATCTTTTCTCATAAAACTAATCTTCAGGAATTTGGGAGGGGTAAGGGAGTTGTAGGAAAGTGACAAAGGGGGAACTTGGCAGAAAGAGGAAAACGGGGAGATGGGGAAAAAAACTGGGACCGGGTATTATAAGGCTATGAGGGAAAAAAAGTTCCATTTAAAAAATTGGTCGGGGCGTGGGAGAGGCGGGAGAGGAAAGAGGCTTTTTTTAAAAATTATAATTTTCTTTCAGAAGTGTGCGGTTGGTTGTATTGTTTTTGGGGAAGGTTTTGAGGAAATACTGAGCTCAGTAAATGGGGATGTACAAGAAGGATCAAAGGTTCCAGCCTATCGTTTCGCCCAGTCCTACAGGTTAGAACCCAGGATGGGAAAGATCCAAACAGGTGCATGCCCGGAGTTGAACCACCCACAGTTTCATTGCAGTTGCTGTTGTCAAAGCTAGGGACCTGCTAACAACCTCTTCATCTAGGACTCACTGAGGGGCTTCAACTGCCTAAGCTTACCCGGTCCAACTTTGCTCCGGCGTCCAAACCCAGACACTGGTGCCCTTTCAATTGAGTTACTTTGATTTTTTTTTAAACCCATCTAAAGTCCTAGCCTTTTCTCTTCCCTGTTCGTTTTCTTTCATAGTTGAAAATGTTGACCGTCCCTTATTTCCGCAACCTCATCACGATTTGGAGAGAGGTGTGTATGTGTGTGTGTATGTCTGTGTGTGTATGTATGTATGTATTTGTGTGTGTGTCTGTGTCCCTAAGACTTGGGTACTGACACTTGTACAGTTTATAAATCAGCCGCAGAGAAATGGGCTGGGAATGGGAGGAAGAGAAACTTCTCCTAGTCTTTGTCATCTTCATAATCTCAATATTTTTTTAAAAAGTTAAATCGTTAAGGGAAAGGGAAAAATAAATGGAGCCTCACTGCTAGTGTGGCAAAGGAGACATACCCATCCAATAAGCTTTCTCTTTTTTTGCGACGAAACTGGCTCCCACGTGGGTAGGTAGAAGAAAGACTTTTACATTCTCTCCTCCCTGAGAAGGAGAAAAAGGGCTAGAATGAATAAGGATTATTTCCAGTTTTAGCGGTTGGGCAGATGGGGCGTGGCTAGAGCCTCCTGCCTTTGCCCTGGAAGAACACTCGAGGGTCGCCTGGGGCACCAGCTGTGTTAGAGAGAAGGACCAAGCTACCTCTTGGCGACTGTGGAAGCCAGCTAGTTATATCTCTGGCCGTACTCCCAGGTTTGAAAAAGCCACTGACTGCCAGGTTTACCTTTACACGGGGTGGAGCTAAATGGCATTCAAAGCAGGAGAGTCCAATTCTTTTGCTGATGCAATGAAACGTCTTGCACTGGGAATAATATTGGAAGGCCTGTGTGACATCAGAGACTGAATTATAGTGTAGGGGTTTTTTTTTCTTAAAGAAATGTAGTCTCTAAGCTTAGTGCAGTAAGTGTAAGTAAAGGCTTAAGCCTCCCTTATGAAAAATCTAATCTAAGTGCAGTAAATACCCAAAACTAAGATACAATTTGTAGCAGCAGAATGAACTATACTATTATGTGATGTAGGTAGATAATTCACTACCATCTGTATAAAGCCCAGAAGTCTCAATATGATCCCTCCTTATCTACTGATTCCTATACTCACTTGTAGAAACATCCCACATTCTCATCTTTAAAAAAATAAATAAAAAACCTCGGTAGACATTCTATTCTCTGAAGTTATCCTCCTGCCTTTTCTCAGCTAGACTCCTAGAAAAATCTGTCTACACTGCTTGCCTTCTGTTTCTTTTCCTCTCACCTAGCCCTTTGTTGATCTGGCTTCTGACCAAATCATTCAACTGAAACTTCTGTCACCCACTGCCTGTACAACTTGATCGAAACCTATCTTCAAGCTTTATTACACTTTATTTCCCTTTACCCCACACATCCATCCAACCAAATTGCCCTTCTTACCTCATACAAGGCATTCCACCTCCCCTATGCTGTCTACATTGTGTATCCTTCACCTCCTCCTCTCTCTCTCCCCTTCCCCCCTCTCTGATTTTTGAGTTCTTTCCTTCAAAGATCAGATTAAATCCACATAAGTCTTTCCTGATCCTCTAGTTGGTAATGACTACTTCCTCTCCCCCGATATTCTTGTGTCCTTTTTAATATATATTTTGTATGTATCTATATATGTGTGCATGGTATATTTCCTGGCTAGGCCAAACACTAGTCCATTAGGCCAGGGACAATTTCATTTTTGTGAAATTATATATGTGTTGTCTCCCCCCCTAGAATGTGGGCTCTTTGAGATCAGGCACTATATGACTTTTGTATCACCCCCAGCTATTAGCACAGTGTTTTGAGTCTAGTAATCAATTAATAAATGCCCCATTAGTTCATTTTTTTATTTGTGTCCTGGGTATCTAAAACAGCACCTGGCCTATAGGAGGCACTTAATAAATGTGTCTTGATCAATTATAGGTCTATTCTATTATAAACTTTAAAATCCTTTATAATAAAGTAATAAATTGGTTTTTCTACAAGCTGCAGGCTGGTTGAAAGAATCCTTTAATTACTTGAGACTTTGACTTGAAAAGTCTGGATTTTGGATGGAGGTCTTCATTCAGACATAAGATCTTGAAAGTGTATAGAGGAAGAAATTATTTTAAATTTTATTTTCAATAACAATTTAATGTACTGTCTGAGGTATTATGTAGTCTGAATCAGTAAGATTCTGGTATACTTTTTCTTGAGTTTTAAAGGATCCAGTAAAACCGTGATCATCAGGAAAAAGTTTAAAAAAACAAAACAAAAGAAAAACATGCCCAAGACATTAAAAAGTATTTTTATTGGTTTGGGAGTTTGTGATGATTAGATTTAATAGAGAGACTCCACCCTCTCGTTACAAATGTTCTGTTAATATTGTCCCACTTATTTATTTGCTTTTTGGTAAGGCAATCGGAGTTAAATGACTTGCCCACACAGCTCCACTTATTTATTTTTTACTCCTTTTTTTTTTGAGGGGGGCTAGGCAATGGGGTAAAGTGATTTGCACAGGGTCACACAGCTATTAAGTGTCAAGTGTCTGAGGCCTGATTTGAACTTAGGTCCTCCTGACTCCAGGGCTGGTGCTCTATCGACTAGGCCACCTAGCTGCCCCTACTTATTTATTTTTTAAGTAGTTTTGCATCAGCTTTTGGTAATAACACCATTTTATGTAAACACTGGTGGCTCTGGCTTTGAAATTTGTTGTGCTTAGAATCCTAATTGCTGATTTTGGATATTATATTCACAGCCTCTAGAAAAATTAGTATTCACTTTGGTGAGTTAAGTACCTGTACTTTTTATAACATATAACTCTGTGTGGTTAATCTTTATCTTACCATCTTCCCTTGCCTAGTTGGATTTTCTCTATCTCCGTGAGTTATATAATGTGCAAAATAATCTTATCTAATGCTCTCATTCAGATTCATTTTGTATAGTTTTCTGTGGAAGTGGTTTGTTGAGGGGCAGTGGGGTGCTGGTAGAGAGAACTCTTTATTTGGAGTCAGGAAAGTGTGTGTGTTCAAATTCCGACTCAATTGTGTGACCTTGGGTGAGTCATAACTTTCCTGTGCCTCAGTTTCTTTATCTGCAAAAAGGGGGTGATAAGTAAGGAGCACTTGTAATACTTGTCTCTGAGAGCTGTTAGAAAACTGCTTTGGATACTTTAGTGTCACATATAAATGTCAGTTGTCACTCATTTCAGTGATTTGTTAAAATAGCCAATGTTCACTTTTATTTTTAGCTTACAATATGGAATTCTCTAATGTGGTGAACATGGGATCTTGATGCAAACTTTAATGTATTATGCATGATGGAAACAATTATCTAATAGATGTAAAAAGAATTGCAAAGGCAGTTAGATTTATTAGAAGATTGAAACAGTCTTCCTAATGGAGATGTTAAGAAACCCCTTACTGATAATGCCAGTTTCTTCAGAACATACTAGGAAAACGTTCTTGATTGGTATGAGAGGCATTTAAAATTTTTATTTGGAAGGCTTAAGCATCCCTTATCAAAAAGCAAATACTTAGAATTAAGATTCCTGTTTGATCTTGTACGTGGAATATTACCTGCATGGGCCAGCCCTTTTTCCTTCTCCCTGTTCTTATCTCTCCCACCTTTTATTTCTCTCTGGTTTCCTGTCCTTTATTCTCTCATTTCTTTTTGTTCTTTATATTATTTATTTTAAA